GTGTAGATAGGTAATGTACGAAAACAGTATACATGGCAGTGTAAAATATAGTGTAACGAGAAGTGTATGGTTTAGTAGTGTACGTGGTGAAACTATATTCATAAATTATGGCATTTCATTGCCCCGTTAAATAATGAGATGGTTTGTGGGGTTGATGTATTAATATTGAAGCTTAGAGTTCCATAGTTGCATACATAGTTGCGGAAAACAAACCATACTTCATGAGACTGACAGATCCATAGTTGTCTATATAGTAGATTGTATACAATTTTGCCTGAAAATACGGTTATTTCACAAATATCTCGAAAAGTCTTTCGAGTTGGGAATTCTATGATAAATTTCCAAATGCGTTTATTCTTACTCGAGTTGAGTATTAATCCCGACAAAAATTCAGGGTGAGAGGTTTTGTGTACCATTCTTTCTCGTCTGGTGAGATCGAAGCCTTGTGTTCAGCCTTTTCTTGCATATGTGGGAAACAAAAATAACCAGATTACAAGACCATGGATAATCGAAAAAACTCATGTCGTCAAGATCTGTATATCGGATCAAAATTTTCCGAATCATATAGTCGTTGACTAAACGACGATCTTTGGTCTTCTATATTCTCTCCGAATCATATTTGACTACACGACGATTTAGAATAAAAAATAAAAGCTTTCGCTTATCAATAGTCGTTGTAGTTTCTCTAGACTAAAATGAATGCCCCCAATGAAACAGATTTTTTATCATTACATCAAGTAGAGAGTCGTGCGCGTGAAATCACGCGCTACGATTCTTCACAAAAACTCACCGCCGAACAAATCGCCGCCATCGTCTTCGCTCTGCCTCTCCGGTTCCGGCCTCGGCTGGTCCCGCGAGAGGGCCCCCGTCTGGCCCGTCTGCCACTTTAGTTCGAAAGAGCTCGTTCCCCTAGATGCCCTAGATCTGAGAAGCCTTTCTCGGCGAGATGGTCGGAGAACACCGTACGTGACGACCGCATCTTGGTGGTGAGGAGCGTGGTCACTGGCGGCTTCTGCTTGTCGCAGGTGAAGCGTCTTTAGGCCTCGATAGCTACTCCTCTGCATCAGCCTCACGGTGCTCGACCGGTGTGGATCTTCGTAGA